AACTCATCAGTAATTCATGTCACGTCTACACTGGCAAAGTGAAACGTGGAATTGAAAGGAGAAAGAGAGATTTAAATTAAAAAGACCCAAATAGTCCATATGAATAAGAAGATTTATTATACTTTCAGCCAGTACCATGGTCCACTGAATTCAATATTTTGCCTCCGAGGGAGTAACAAAGGCTATGGAAGGCCCGGGACAAGGGATCCAGAGCAGCTATTCAGTCCGGCTGGTTGGCCGATGAACTGCTCACTTCTCCACATTGTCAAGACAGATCCTGCATGAGTGAGCCTCATGCCACTGATTCTTTTACTTGCAATGCATAACATCGGGCACAGTGGGCCCCTCGCCCCCTCCCAGCCTGGTGCAGCACAACAGAACTCCACCTTCACACAGCTCCTCCGCCTCTGTCTGACAGCTTAATGGAAACGGAGACTCAGTTCTGGCCACTCGACTCCAGACTCCTAGAGGAATCCTGCAGGAATTTGACTAAGTGGCCGCCAGCAGGTGTTTATTTTTTTGTTTATTTTTGTTTCTTCTTTTTTTGTAAGTGAGATAAACTGAAGAAAGTATGAGGAGAATCTCATCTACTATAGGATTTTTCCCCCAAGCTTTTTTTTTAGTATCTTTATCTCTGAGCTGCTATGCCCAAGACAGATTTGGGCCACATTTTGAGTAATTAACAGTTTGTTTCTTTTACCCCCACCAGTTGTGGCGGGATGTCCAGTCACACAGAACCTCCTCCAGGTGTTTCTGGTGATTCCCGAGAGTTATCTATTGAATTCTCTAGACCCGTTGTCTTGAGCAAAGGCATCTGCCATTGTCCTCAGGCTTAGGTCTCTGTCAGAGACCTCTCACCAGAATCCCAACCCAAACCCATTATAATAATTAGGATTCTGTGAAGCCTCAATGGATATTAAAGGTTCGTGACCATGGAAACTCGATCATTGACCTATTCCTAGAAATGGACAGGGACAAGCACACCAGGACACTGGAGTCCCCCTCATGTAAGACAGTCCCCAGCCTGAGCACCTTCCCGAGGATGGCAGGCAAGGAGAGGCTGCTACCAGCTGATGGGTTTGAGTAGGATAGGAAGACGACAGAAATAATGAAGAGCCCAAGTCCTGTTCACTTCTCCCGCATGACAATGTGATTTTAGAAAATGAGGACAAACAATTCATTGTGGTATTTCTTCTTACTGCAGGGGGAAATTCATCCCCAGGTGAGACCAAGGACCACCCTTTTTCTTTCATAGGGACCTGAGTTGGATGCTTTCTCATGAAACATCCACCTAGTTATGCGCATGCACACTTATATTGGTTAGTATCTGCAGAGGATCATCCTCACTGGTTTCTCGCTCTTCCAAAAGCATCCTTTTGAAGCTGGATAATTCTTAATCTGACTGAAGGAAATATTCTGTATCTTCCCTGAAGCCTATCTATAGCTACCTTTCCTGTGGACCTCTGTTCTCAGTTTCAGAAATGGAAGGTGCTTCTGAAAAATAGTACCTTTTAAAAATAGTGACTCTGGGCGCCCTCTGCTGGGTACTCTAAGTTCTTCACCTGTACGCTAGTGAGAGCAAAGCATACAGCCAGCAAGGAATTACTGGAAACAAACATATACACACATTTATGTATGTGTGCATGGCTGTGCAACATGCATATATATGTATGTATGTATGTGTGTATACATGCATATTTTAACCGTTTTTGTTCAGAGACCCCTTTGGAGAAAGGAATAGAGGAGATGATCCCGCAGCGCATTTCCCAGGCAGGCTGCCGGGATTCCCAGGGCACCATCGTCCGGCGCTGATGGAACGGCTAAAGGAAGGAGGCCTCCTCTCCCCAGGCAGCCAGCAGGGGAATGTTTCAGTTGCACGGCAGTGATTAGCAGTCAAGCTTGCTTTTCTTTATTTCCCTCTGGGCCTTCTCTCCCCAACCCCACCTTTAATCACTGTGACAATGCTGCTTCTGAGGCCCTTGGAGGTCACAGCTCTCAGAAGGGTTGAATGAGCAAAGGTGGCAAATGGGTGGGGTGTGCAATGCAGCCGTGTTTTGATCCTTCATTAACAGCTTGGAAGTTTCACCTGGAACCCTAGTGCCCTCCCTCTACTTCACTGCTTCCTCCCCAAATCACTCTGACTCAGATTAACTGAATGCTTGGAAATAATAAGGGGTCAGGCGGGTGACAACTGGGAGAGGGGGATTCTGGGCCTCCTTCTCAGGCATCCCACTTCTCTGGGTCTTGACTCTGTCATTCATAAAACTGGGATAAGAAGAATGACCAGTTTATGAAACCCTTGGGAAGTCCTTAAAAGCATATCATGGCAGACTACACATAGTAACTAATCTGCCATTAATTAATTCACTCTTACAACAAATATTAAAGCCCCATTATATGTATAATATGCTACACAGGCACTCCGGGGTCATGTAAAGCAAAAGTAGACTACTTCGGCCTTCAGGAGACACTACGTGAATAGGGGGAAAACTTCTGGACCAGCATGAGGCAACGCACGGGTCATGTCAAAGTCACTGACGTGCACGGTTGCTCCTATGAGGCCAGGAAAGGCCCTCCTCCAACTGTGAGTGTGAGCGTGCATGCACTTGCCACTTGCTATCTTTGCCACAGGGTGGTGTATCACCCGGGATTTATTACTTATCCTGTTGTGATCACATGGCTGTTTGCACAGTCACTTACTTAATCTCTGCTCCTCCCACACAGTGCAAGCTCCAAAAGAACTGAGCATTTTTCAATCCTTTTGTTTTGACTCCATATTAACAAATAAAAAAATATTTCAATCAGAATTACACCAACATCAATTCTTGTTCCTTATTTTTTAAAGTAATGCCATCAAAGTCAACTTTGTTCCTTGATCCATTTTTTATGCAAGATTTCCTTTAAAAAATTTATTTTAATTTTCTGAAACCTTTCCATTGAAATCAGTTCACAATGATTTGCTTCAGCACATATTTTTAATGCATAATGCCTATTAAGTTTGACTAATCATAGCTTCTGCCACTGCAATTTTTTAAATGGATATTTTTGTACTGAGTTTCCTTTTCCCAAATCTGTAGATAGAAATGTTATAATTTGAATCTTGGGTTACTTCTGTCAAGACCCGCTATTTTGCCCTCTGGCGCCTTAGTTTGTATGCATGTGTATTTGCCAGGAGATGCGGCTGCAGCCTCACTGAGGCCCTGCTACCAATTGCCAGGAATACTGGTAAGGAAGCCTCTGAGGCGCCTGCAGCCCCAGGCATCACCTGACCGCACCCACACGAGAGAGACCCTGTGTAAGGACTGCCTGGCTGAGCCCAGTCAACTCTGTGGAGAACAAGAAATAATAAAATGACTGGTGTGGGGTCAAGCCACCAAACTCTGGAGTGTTTCTGACACAGCAACAGATAATCAGGACCCTGCCTGTCCTGATACCACCTAATTAAAGAGATACGTGTTTGTCTTTTTTTCACACTGTGCTGTACTCACCAGGCCGACTTTTGGATTCTGGAGCAATAGACATATACAAGTGAGGGCAATCTACAGAGGCACAGAGAGCTGGGGAATGAGATATCCTGTCCACTGGAATGTTCTCAGTAACCGAGTAGGCACAATACATGCCTCAGGCAAGCTGCTGAAGAGTAATAGAGGCTTTAGGCAAATTATTGAATGCAAAGAAACACCACTTTTCAAAGAAATGAAAGAATAAAATGCTAACAGTATAATGAACATACTTCTTTGACAATTTTTTTTTAGCCTTTGGAATCGCCTATTATTTTGGGGTGAATGTCACACACGTCAGTTACATCTGTCCTAGGCTACCCCTCAGCAGGACAGCTGGTGCAGGTCATGCAGCCCAGTTCTCAGTCGGCGGAGCACTGGGTGCCCACGGCTCAGGGCAGCAGGACTCGGTCACTGCTATTTCTCACTCCCAGAACTCTCCTCTGTCTTGTTGCTAATGAATGGTTGCTGGCTCTAACAACCAGGGCCACATCCACCCAGGGCATGACAGCATTACTGTGTGCTCTTTGTGCACGTGGGGGAGAGAAATGATGAACGGGGGCACAAGAAGCGTGCCCTGTTATTCCCTAAGACTTTGAAGGTGGAGAGATCCTTTTTTTTTTTGGCAAAACACAAGACACGCAAGACACAACTAAGAGTCTGTGAAGGCAAAGAATTTTCTTTAAAGGGGGAGACTAATGTTTCACAGAACATAAGCCAAGAAGTTCTGATATTTCTGAGCAGGAGGAAGAACTCATTTGTTTATGTAATTCCTCAACAAGGTGCAACATTCCAAATGCTACTGACAACGACAGCAATAGTTAACATTCACACAGCCCTTACTCTGCACCACGCGCAGTCCTGCTCGCTTTAACTCACTCCATCCTCACGCCAAGCCTAGAAGGCGGGTACTACTATTATGCCCATTTAACAAGTGATGGAACCCAGGTGAGCCCACGCCCCACAGCAGGTTAGAAATGCCCTGAACACTCTGCCTCCGAAGAGCTTCTCCCTTTTCTTCTCGGCAGAGACAGAATGCAGATAATGGGAAGGGTACAAGACTAGAAGCCTGAATCTGAATTCCAGCTCCTCCTCAAACTACCCCAATTTGGACAAGCCATTTCCTCAACCTGAAAGATGAGGGAGTTAAATTAGGGGACTCAGAAGATCCCTCCTCCAATAAAATGTCTGATTCTATGAACAATTCTTGCCTCAAAATAATGATAAAGTTCAAGTTGGCACTGAAGAGTCTGCAGCACGCTGGGGAGGCGGCCGAGAGGCTGGAGCACCACCCGGGGCTTCAGAAACACAGGGCGCAACCCTCCAGGGGCTGCGTCTCCAACCGTAAGTAACAGATCAGTGTGAGAAAGCTCCGACCCGCCGTCATGACGCATTCATTTTTACCAGAAAATAAAACATCCAAAGAGAGAAGAAAAGAAAACCCATTAACAAACAAAAATTTATGACCCACATAGAGAACTAAGCAATGCAGAGAACATGTGGTTTTCACTGGCACTTTTATTTTGAAAAGCACATGGTTTGCCCATGACCAGAGCAGTAATCATTTAAATGCTGGCTCACTTACCATTTCTGAGAGCTAAATTCTGGTTTTGTTTGTGCTGCTGAGAAAACAAAACAATTCCAAGAAGTTTGGGGAACCTGTTTTATTTTTCTTATTTTTTGAGAAAATGTGGCCCTACTGAACCTTGAATGAAAAATTCAAATCAACATGCAGATTCACATAGGCACTGCTATCTTACGGGTGGAAAAGCGAGGGCTCAAGTGTCTTCTCTGGGGCCGCAGTAAGTGACGGGAGAAGCAGAGGGAAGACCCGGGGCTGTTTCCCAGCATCGCCACAGCACAGGGGCTCGGATCATCTGAAGTCATTGAGCAGCTACTCCCCTGAAAGGGGGTCGGGGTGGACCACTTACAGTGCAATTCCTTCCACCACGGCTTACCGGAAACTCTGGTACCAGCAGCCGGACTGGACACTGTGACCATGTTCCCTCAAGGACCCTCCACAGTTTACCAGCACCAGCCTGCTCTATGAAGGAGCTGAGCTTTCTGCTTGCCTCTACCTAGACCTTCAAGGTGGCACAATGCATTAACTTCTCGGGTCAGCCTGCCAGCACTCAATGAACACAGAGATTAGGAGGAGACCAAGTGGTAGTGCGGTGTCCACTGGAGTTCGGTGTCTGATTTCTTAGGACGCCAGAAACTCACTGGAAGCAGCCCCGTCCAACTCAGATCCACCCCCTGGGGTCTTGGACCCGGGGTTACTCAGCCCACAGGGACTGGCTGAGTGGCTGGAAGGTCCGATGGCTGGCTGTCCTCTTGTTGGACAGAACCACGTGGGACTTCAGGTCCTTGGGGGTGTGGCAGAGCAGAGCATCCAAACTGTAAGTGGTGACCTGGCCATTTATGTGCAGTTTCCCATAGAGCTCGTCAAATCTGGCCAGAAGGGCCGGCACATCCTTCACTTTTCCCCTCACTTTGGCCAGCTGGAAAATAAAAGAAAAGCAAATCATTGCACCTATGCATGATTTCTCCCTTGTTCTTTCTACCCTCTAGGAGGCAGGGACATACATGTGTAGAAATGCACAGTGTACACCTAACGTGGTAAAAACCAGGGTACTGGGGCACACAGAGGTGTGACTAGTGATAAAGGATCCCACAAGCTACACACAAAATTCAAAATTAGTCCTTGAAAATCTTACCTAATATCTTTTTTTTAATGCTCACCCAAGGACATTTTTTCATTGCTTTTAGAGAAAGGAAGGGAGAGAAGAATGGAGAGAAAGATCGACTGGTTGCCTCCCACATGAGCCTAGACCAGGGACTCAAGCTGCGAACTTTCTGCTATGGGATGATGCTGCAAACAAATGAGCCACGCTGGCCAGGGCCTAATATCTTATAAAAGGGGATGTGAGTGGCACACCCTGGATAATGAGACATGCCAGGAAAAGGAGCTCAAACAGCAACAGACCAACTTTGGCCAATTTAATGACCAGAGCAAGAGGCAGGGCCAAATTATGTAGGGCTTTATTACAGTACATACTAAGTTTGTTTTCAGAGATTGGAAATCTTTTTTTAAAAAAATGTTTTGTTTTAGGTTAGGAACACTTTCCATTCTGGCATTTTTCAGAGTGTATTTGAGGGGCAACGAATGCATCCTCAGTCTTGAGACGGGCTGAATGTGCAGATTCTCATAATGACGGGTGAGGCTCTGTCCCTGTTAACTAGTGTCCTATCGGCCATCAAGTTTTGGTAATGGCAGACATAAGTATGAGGGACTCCATACTCCAGAGTCCACGCAGCTCCATGGGCCACTTGCTTCTCCTCACATCATCTTCTCTGGCCGGGTTTCCTCTCCCCTCTCACTGCAATCACCCCTTGCATGCCTGTGCTGGTGTCAGGCATGGTAAGTTCTCTTGGAATTTACTCTAAAAGCCACCAGAGGGTCCACACTGGGGTGTGATCTGGTCTCGGTGTACAGAGCTGTGTGGAGACGTGGCGGACACGAGTCTGCCCCGGAGGCCCCACTGCCGCCCCAGTGAGGGGATGATGGATGGCTACGACTGGGAAGTGCACAGAAAAGATGGATCAGCAGAGGTACATATGATGTACTTTAGATTTAAACTTTTAAGGATTCATGTTGAAGGGGTGCAGGAAAGGGGAGGCATCAAAGACATCTTCCTAGCTTGGGCTTTGTAACTTGGTGAAGGGTGATGTTGTGACTGCAATGGGGAGGAAGAGAGGACCAGACTTGGAGAGGGGACACCGAGAGCCCTGGTACAGACATGATTCCGGTGCCTGTGAAACAGGGAAGTGGATGTGCCAAGAGGCTGTTGGATATTATAAGGAAGAAACATGGAGGATAGGACCAGACCAGAGGTATAAATATCAGAGTCACGAGAATATGAATGACATTAATTTTCCAAAAGTGGGTGAGCTCTAAATTAGAACATGAAGCTACTTTCTGAACAAAAATCAGCATTCTGCATAGTTCAATCCGTATTAACAATAGAACCTAACAATGTTTCTCAATGAGATTTAATTGTAATCAAAGTCCCTAACTACCCTTTTGTCACCTTCTAATACCTCATAACCCTACTAGTTACCTGCACACCTTCTGTTCAAACACGGGCTCCCCAGTGAACTGTCAATAAAAAGTTTAAGCACTTCTTAATGTTCTCAAAAAGGACAGCTTGTTCAGTCCTCATGTTCAAGGTAAAGTGACTTACTGTGCAGCATGTGGCTTCCAAAGGAAGGGAAGCAAGCATGCCGAGCTGGAGGTATTGATATCTTTGCTCCAGCTGCATGTGTGACACCAGTCCCCCTACACCACTACAAAAAGTATTACATGGTGTCATTAGAACCATGCTACAATTTCAGCAGAAAAGAGATCATACCACATTGTTTGCTATTTTAGTTTTAAGAAAGAAGTCAGTGAATAAACAGCTATTTGAGTGGTTTCAGTCCCAGCATTGCAGAAAATAACAATTCTCTCCATTCCTCTAGCGGCATACCACCTTATCTCCACACGCAAGACATGGTTAATAACTGCTGGTATAAACACTAAATACAGCAGTTGTGAACTGCAGGGCTTTACAATGCAAGACTCCACATGCAGGCTCACGGACATATTCAGAGCTGGCTCAAAAGCTACCTTACAGGATCGCTTCATTCCACAATAAGCAGCTCCCCGGGTGTCTCACAACAACCAGGGAGACAGGCCGAGCTGGAGGGCGAGCTTCCTACATCAGTCAGTCTTACAGCTTCGGGGGGTGCATTTCAGATAAAAACATCAGCATTTTTCAGTGTGCAGTTTGTCTGGATGACAGGTTCTTCAGTCATAAAGTTGGAAAACATATCGACAGACCAGATCTGAGGGATGGCTGGTTAAAGTGTGTCTGTACTGCACACGCATGCACACGATTGTGCACTTGAAAACCTGTTCAAATTTCCAGGGCTGCTGCTTTTCTATCACATTCCAAAAGGATCTCAGCGGGTCACAACCTACAGAGAGCTAAGAACTCAAACACAGGGAAGCTTTAAATTGAGTCAGATCCAGTTAGTGTTCTGTTCCCTTTAACGGCAGGAGGAAGCCTTTGGGTGGAAGTGAGGAAACGGAGTAGGACTGGGAGGCAACAGGGTGGCAGAGGGGAGAGCAGCCACCTGCCCTCTGCTGTGGTCCTGCTGTCTCAGATACCAGGTGAGACCAGCACTACAAAAGGCAAGGGAAGGAGGGAGAAAAGCAGTGAGAGGACCACCAACAGGCCCCTTCGTGGTCAAAATGAGAGCACCAACCAGTTTCATTACTAACGATATCCTTACACTGCTTTTTTTTCTTACGTTCTATACTACTAGCAATGTACAAATTATGCAATTTCAAATAATTTATAATAATTCCTCTTTGTGTGCTTAAGCCATCAAGGTGACACATAGGTTCATTTGTTTCATTTTGCTTTCAATTTTTCTTTCTTTGTTTTTATTTAATTTTGTTTTAGATTTGCAAAGCATTTATACAGTTCCATTGGTTGGTTTATCAGGAGCTAAAACAACAATTCTAATGACAGAAGCTTTAGTATGGTTTAATAACTGGAGTTGAGGGTTCCTATCTAAACTCCTGTTGGTCTTTTGTTTAAATAGGGGAGTTTTTTTTAAAGACAAAAGATAATACAGCCTATTGTTTGCTGATGAGAATGATCCCCAGGGAAAGGGATGCTAATGATGCTCCCAAGAGAGGGAGACACCTTCTGGACCAACGCCCTGGAGTCGTGGAGTGGGTCAGAGGGGACTCGCTCCAGGACGCAGGCGGGGAGCAGGGCTGAGCAGGCAGGGAGCAGCCAGAAGGCAGCAGAGGGGCTGTGCCTCTCTCTGACTGCTTCCGCTTCCTCCATGACACAGGAAGCAAGATCACTGACTGAGAGTAAGGAACGGGGAGAAGGCACTGGAGGCTTGAGGAAAAAGGAAAAAGAAAGAGACAGCCAGGACCCGTGAAAACAGTCTGGGGAAAAGACTAACAAAGGGAAGAAGCTTTGCTAGCATTTTAGAGGATATTTTGTGTTTGAAGGGAAAAAAATCTTTGCACCCACACAGAGAAAGCTTACAACAGGAACAAAGAGAGTTTGCAAATTCAACCATCTCTCTAAGGAGGTGGACTTTTTAAAGAGTGCCCTTCCCCTTTAAATGATTTCTGTAGCAGCCACACACTCACCACTTCTTCTGAGAATTTAAGTTTTTTCACAAATCTTGATAAATTTCCCTCTGCAGTATCCTTTAGTATCCCCATCACGGTTTCCAGCATATTCGACTGGATATGGATCATAAGCTGAATAGAAAGAAGACACAGAAAAACAAGTCTGAGCCAGCTTTCAACTGAGAAGTGTACCAGAAGATAAGCCTAAATGTATAGGCACCTACCCCATTTTCACGCTATGTCCTAATTCGTTTGCTTGCACAAGTTCAAAAAAATGCATCAAACGTATGCTTGCCAACCCAAAGCTTGTTCACCCGTGGCAAATTGAAATGCCGCTACTGCAGCACTTGTGTAAGAACAGAACATGGACTTTGGGCTGGGTTTCCAGCACTGGCAATTATTAGCTCTGTGACTCTGGCGGTACTTAATCTCTCTTTCATTTTTTTTTTATTTTTAAAGTGAGGGAAATACCTCTACATTTCATATTTTGAATTGTTGTGAAAATTAAATAAAATACCAGCACATGGGAGGTACTCAGTAAACACTACAGTTCCTTCCTCCTTATTGCCTCTAGATTCAGAGGCGATGACAATCAGATGACCTCATAAAATGGGCTCTAGGGTAAATACACCTTTACCTTTTTTATTTATTAGTATTTTGGTTAAGAAATTCCAGGCACATAGGTTGTTGCAGGTACCCGTGGGAGCTGGTTAAAGTCTTAGTGAGGCACTTCTATTTAGACTGCTGCTATTAGAGAACTTTCAAAACTGGATACTGTACTTAGCACTCAACATGACTTTACTAACCACCTCCCATCAGACGGAACAACACAAGGAAAAAAGAACACATTTTCCCCCTCATCACCAATGTGCACCAGTACAATTTCAAAACATACAGAAAAGTTTAAATAAGATAACTGAGAATTTACCAACTAATGTTAACCATTGTTTATAATTTCATAATATCTTCCAAATGTATTAATTTTCCCCAAAGTTTGATTCTTTTTGTCAATTATTATACAATGAACATTTTCTTGTAACATTAAAAAGAAATTTTAGAAAAAAGAGAAAATCTCTTTTCTAATGATGAATGCATAACAATCCATCATATAAATAAAATAATGCATCAAATAAATTAATAACATCCTTTGCCATATTGATAAATGTGCACACATTTTTTAAAGATAAATTCAATTTCTTAGACTTAATTCCCAGAAGTAAAATAACAAAGTCAAAGGGTGTGAACATTTTTAAGGCTCTCGATCCTTAGAAAGGGTAGTTTTATTGAAAGAGATATTTCTTTTATACACCAAACCAGCTAAGTTCTCTCAACAGTCCATTTCATAACGCATTACGTTTGCTGAGCAGTCGACCGGGGGGGTGATCTCTGGTCCTGCAGAACAGACTGAACCGACCCCAAGTAGACTAATCCCAGGGCCCCACCGACATTCAGTACTCTCAAGCACAGGCCAAATCACGGGCACACCCACTGCGGGGAGACCCCTCCATGGGTCTCCCACGTTTGAGCGGAAGTGCTGACAGCCTTTATTCCAACCTTCTCAAGGATATCTGTACAACCAACAGCCTGGGAAGCGAGACTCAGTGCCTCATCCAGAGCAAAGGGCAGGAAAGCTTACTGCCCATTACAAGAGATTTGGGTTCCCCCAGATCATCTTAAAATGTAAGCCCCTGTGTATGCAAGAGGCATACAGATCTCTTCACATCATCCTAGGGGAATCTCAGGAACTACTGCAAAACTGCTAATACTCTGGCTACTGCTATTGCTGTGAGTAATAAACTATCCTTCACTCCTTGATGTCTTGTATCTCTACCAGTATCCATGAAATGCATTAATTTGGAAGTAGGGTAAAATCTCTGCTCTAAACAGTTCTTAACATCCTTGTTAAAAAAAAAAAAAGTTTGGATGGCAGTAGACAATCCTACTGAAGTCAAGGACAAGTCTACTTTTGTTAAATGCAACATCCCCAGTGGCTGGCACCTTGTAGACCCTCAACAATAATGAAAGAGAGGGGAGCACAGCAATTTTCAAGGATAAACCTCCTGGAGTTCCATGTTAAAAACTATTAATGATGTGCTCCTGGAAGATTTCAGTTTTTCTTCCTAAGTTTTCTCAACTTCTCTCCTTGCCTCCAGCAACTATCTCTGATTCAGTAGGGATTTCAAGAGTACGGTCAATACCTTATGAATATACTGATGAGGAGCAATATAGATGAGGTGGTTACTGATTAAAGGCAAAGAGAAAATTTAAAGCTAGGAGCTTGTCTCAAACTGATGTCTCAGGATGCAATTAAGAAAAGCTAAATTAGGGTACAGCACATTGCTTTAATCTCACAGCTTTCAAACAAAAGGCTAGGAAAACTGAATTAGCAAGGAGCAGGGGAATTTTTGGTAAGAAAAACTATTAATAGAACACATACTTCCTACCCCTCTGATTTTCTGAGGCCTCAGGAAATGCTGACAAATCATCGGATACCTCCGAACAAAAAAGAAACCCTAAACATGGTAGAAACTTGCATTTTTGGCTTTTATTTTCTTTTAAAGTTGTTGCATATTTGAAACAGAACATCACAGTGTGGAAGAGACTGCTAGTTTTCTAAACAACATTCATTCTCCCCTTCTTTGATAACAGGACTCCCGAATTTTAACTGATGCTATCACCTATGGAACTCGGAGGCTCTGCTTGTCAGGTTCCTTTGCAAATAGTTGAGGCTAGGGGATTAAGTTCTGGCAGATAACATATAAGACAATTGGGAAGGCATCCTTAAAAGGTGCTAAATTCTGGCCAGATACTCACTTGGCTGGAGTGTTATCCTGATATGCCAAGGTTGTGGGTTTGATCTCCAGTCAGCATGTGTACCAGAAGCAACAAATGAATGCATAAACAGGTGGAACAACAAATTAATATTTCTCTCTCTCTCTCAAATCAGTAAATGAAAAAAATTTTAAGGTGCTCAGTTCTTTGCCCTCTCCATTCTTCCTACTTCTTGCTGGAATAGCAATATAATCAATAGACGGAAGTTGCGTGCTTGGGATGCTGGTGTGGAAATACAGAAAGATGGGTCCTTGAAGGTATCATGGAATGCCACACCAGGCCTAGACTGATTGCTTCTGTTTTCTATGTGAGAGAAAAAGGAAGCCTCTAATTCATACAGACTCTTGTGGTTTTGGAGTCTACATTGCTCCCACACAAATGTAATTCTTTTCTTTCTTTTTTATCCTCACTCTAGGATATGCTTATTGATTTTTTAGAGAAAGGGGAAGAGATGGAAAGAGAGAGGGAGAGAAACATTAGTGCAAGAAACATCGATCGGTTTCCTCTTGGATGCACCACAACTGGGGACCAAACCTGCAACCTAGGCATGTGCCCTGACTGGGAATTGAACCCACAACTTTCCAGTTTTTGGACGATGCTCCAACCAACTCACATTAGCCAGGACTCAAATGCAATTTTTAACTTATACATACAGGTGAGATGCTGCTACAATGAGATTTAGAAGAAATGAGTCCTTCCTCCTTTCTGACTTGTGCAGCCTCAGAGACTTTCCAGCATGAGCTAGAACTTTAGGGTAACCTTATGGGTAGTAGAAAAGGGCATTAAAACATTCAATTTTGTCAACAAATAAATGATAAAAGCAGCAAAACCAACCACTTGTCAATTCCCTTGAAAGGTAATTCAATTCCAAAATGAGTCTCCATTTGAAGACTGCCAGATTTCTAGAGAAATTATTAGAAATAAAATAGAATCAGTGGATAGTTACCCTGAGTTGGAGTCTGATACTTTCAGACATATTTGGAAGTAGAAATTGATCCTTTGATATTAAACAACATGGCTAAAGAGGGGGCCATAGCTGTTTGGAGATTGATGGGTTTAAATTTAGAGTAAAAGGGCAGAGTCAACATGCATGTGGTTTGATGAGATCATTTGCTAGCTCAGTGCAGTGTCTAACATGTATTAGCTGGAAAATGGGAAGCCAGACCCTCTGGGTCATATTGGCAGCAGGAGCAATTTCTGTGAAAAGGAAATTGTGGGGGAATAATTGGGTAAGTGCAAATTCTAATTCGCAGCAGGAAAGGATTTATTTTTTAAAAGTATTTATTAATTTTTAAAGTAGATCAGGAAAAAACTTCATTTATTCCTGCAGTACTGACTTAACAGACTCTCTACTCAGCCTACTTGTCAGGTTTCCATTTCTTACAAATTAACAAACTGCCTGTAGGGATTCCAAGTAGATGACTCAGCCTTGGAAAGGCGAGGGCCTATTACATTACATTTTTTCGCCCATTACATTTTTAAAAACCTGTTCTAATAACAGAGACCCAGAACCTGAAAGATTATTAAACCTGAGAATGGTAACCCTCTCTTTTTCATCATTCCTGAGGGAGAAGAAGCTGGCCTAGGCTGAAATATGAGACATTTAGATTGGACATTGGGAAGAATTTCCTAAGTAAGAATTTTTAAACAGTAAAACTATCTTTAACTTTCCTGACAATGGATAATTCTGTGACCCAGTTCACAGAGAGGATGATTCATACTCAAATTCAGCTCCAGGTTCCTGACATAGCCCTTGCCTGATTCATGCCCACTCCGCCACGGTTACCAGCTGCCCTTCCTTCCCAGCTCCCAGGGGAAAGGAGCTGGCCTGGCTGCCTGACCCGGGAGCACACTTCTCATCGTGCTCTGGATTTCTCCTCCCACTGTGAGGGGCAGCTCCGCTCTCAGAAGCTCATGTTGTATTTCCACCAAAGCACTTTCTCATTTAGAAAAAAAAATCATTATGACATTCTCATAACAACTGTTAAAGCCAAGGATTGAAAGAGACAAGGAATCTAAATTCACAGGCACGGAATATGTGCACTATGTCAGAGTCCATTTTTGACATCCAGTCCTGCATCCTTTTCATTATCCAGGAGGAGCAGCTAGTCCCTGTCCTGGAGAAGAGACACAATCTTTATCCCTGTAGGTCTGCAGTGATGAGGAAACTCTGGGCTTTGTAGTCAAACAGATTTCTTTGTGTAAAAACCACTCTGCTATTTAATGATCTGCAAGAACTCAGGTAATTTACTTACCCTTTGAGTCTTCATTTTCACATCTATGATATGGAGACATATTGTTCTGACAGTGTTGTATAAAGTGAACCAACAAATACAAAGTATCTAGGATGGTACCGTAGCTAACCTATATTAAAATCCTGCCAGTCTCACTCCCTTTAGTGTCTCACCACCAATCCTTATGGACTGATCCCACAACCTCACTTCAACTCTAGGAGAAGCCACTTATAGTCCATGTAAAACCCCCCTCACCACTCACCTGTATCTCTTCCCTATGATGCTCTGAACCACTTGGAATCCTAGTAATTCTACTTCTGTCCAATCATGAGATGAGTGCATCTGCAGGCCATGCTCTCTCTCAGGAGCAGATGCACACTTGGGATCCCCAGAGCTTCCACATCCAGTAGGGAGCACAGAAGTTACCAGATGTATGGCAGCTGCTGAAAGACGAGGCCCCCTAGTCTGTTTGGCTTGCTGGTACTGCTGGCTTAAATGACCTGAACTCCTGGACTCGGGACCTTTGCCACCTTGGTCTCCCAGACCTGCTTGAGCCTACGTATGAGCTTTTCAGGCTGACCCACCCACTCTCACCTACAGTTTCTGCCTAGGTGCCCAGTCCTGGGACAGGCAGGGACAGAGTCACTCCTTCGGTAGGTGACTCTGCTCTCTGGGGCAGATGGTAGGCTGGCAGCGTAAGAATGGAAATAGCTAACATTTACTGAACAAGCACTTACGACATCAGGTACTGTTTTATGCACCATAGTTATAGTGACTCCATGAGTTAAGTAGCATGAAATGAGATTCAGTTAGAACACAGGTTTCTCGTGAGTCTTAGTGAAGAGACTGGAGGGCCTACCTCCCTTCTCTCTACAGCTACCACCTTCTGCAGCCATGTGTTATACCTGGAGCATTTATTCGCATCTCATATTTGAGCATATCTACATGTCTCACCTATTTATAAACTGCTGGAAGCACAGGCTGTGCTGACTCCTCTCAGGGGGGCTACATGATAACTTTCACACAGAGCTCAATAAATGAATAAATTGAATGCCCTTGGGAGATCAAAAGTCACTGTACAGACAAAAAACCCTGGGCATGATTTTAGTACATTTTAAGCCTTTCTTTAAACCACAAAGAAGTCACTTACATTTAAATTAGTGCAGATTATGTTTTCTGGCTTCATGATTTGAGAAAAAATGGATGCAGCTTTTCCCACCTGGTTCTGGAAAGAAGAAAAACAAGTCATACCCTACATCATATGAACACTACTCTGCTATCATGAAGACCGCTTATACATGTCAGGATATTCCTGTTTGTGGTGCACTGGGGTTTTGAGGTACACAGAGACAAAAAGTATTTTGGCAATCAAGAATAAATATTCTATTAAATGTGTCCTATAGTGTCACGTTACTAAATGTTTTCACGCATTGCCTGAGTTCCAGTTTTTCAGAGGGAAGCCGAAAGTTGACATCTCCCCTTCTCATCCCCTACTGGAATGAGCAAAAGGAGGGAAGGAAAGAAAGAAGGAAGGGAGGGAGGGAGGAAGACAGAGAAAGAAAAGAAAGAGAGAGAGAGAGAAGGGAGGGAGGGGGGAGGGAGGGAGGAAAGAGAGGGAGAGAATGAACCAAACATCTTTGACACAGCCAGAGACAGCAGAAACCTCAACCACAGAAGAGGGAGCAACGCTGCAGCCAGAGCACAGGCCAGTCCTGGAGAAGGCAGTGCGAGGAGAACACCGCTGCCTGTCTCAGCAAGCGCCCGCAAAGTAGTTCTCCCAGGTGAGGGGCACAGCCTGAAGTGCAAAACGTAAACTCCCGTCTACAGTGATGGTAACAGAACTCAGAACTAGTAATGAGAAGTTCTCCAGATCCTCTTGGTGGCCAGGGTGCAGTTAATCAAGGATTTACGCAGATAAGCCATACTTGCAGGAAGCAGTGTGTCACTATGGCAGCAGCACAGATTTTTTTTAAGGAAACCCAATCCCATGCCTATTTCCAATGGCCAGGGAGAAATAAAGCCTATGCATATTTGTAAAGTATTACACATTTTCTTAGGATATCCTGGGAGGGGCCCTTCCAGAGAGGGGGTGCTCCAGGGTTCTAGCTTTGACAGACCTTCACTGAGATGTGCAGGGGGCAGTCTTGTCTTCTCTCTGGGCCTCAGCTGCTTCCACATGCCCAGTGAGGGGGGAGGGAGAGAGATCACTAAAGTCTCTTCCAAATAAGAGCACTGGGGTCCATCTGTGAGCTATATGATGGACCCCATTTCTACAACGGGCTCACTGTGGGAGTCCTCAGTCACCTGTGGTGCATTCAGCTTTGGAGAGCATTACACTAAACTGCTCTGAGAACATAACACAGGAAACAATTCACATGAAAATTTCATTTTAATTACTTTGAGAAACTTCTCTCAGAGGGCAGCTTCCCTCACTGAATCTCCGCAGGCTCTTGGCCAGCCCCTTCCAAATAAACAGCAAGGCCTGTTATGTCCTTAGCAGGAAGCGGAAACGTTCTTTGGAGGCAGAGGAACAGATGCAGGTTGCCATGGCACCAAAGGCATCGGTCTCTTTGTGGAAACCTTTTCTTTATGATACAGTCAGGAGAGAACAATACGCAAATAAAAGCAAGAGATGAAAGTGGTGACCTCCGGCAGGCCCCAGCTCACCAACGTGCACCCCAGGCCCTCACCTGGTTCAGAGCGAGAGCCACAGCAAAACACGACGCTCTCCTGGAGAGGACTTCTCCTCTGATTAGAGCTTCTTCCCTCAGCGCAGTGCAGATTTTAAAAGACTCAGGGCTATTCTAGAAGGAGGCAGGATCGATCAGTAAATACATGCTATGAAGCTTTGTGTTGAGTAAAATGATTAATAGTGCTCCGTATTTCGGATTTCCTATTCCAAGAATTTCCCAGAGCCTACCCCAAGCCTATTAAATGATTAAGAACCATACAGAAACTATTTGCATACAGATCAGGTTGTGTATATGTTAGCAGCTCAAGTCTAAATTAACTTTATTTTTAAAGCTCTTTGTCCATTTTCTGACTAGGGGTGGTTTCAGCAGCAAACACACAGACCTCCCTGTGTCTGGGTGGGCTGGTTTCTAGACACGAGTCCCGTCAGGTGCAAGCATTAATATAAAGACTCGGCCTGCTACCACCGTATTAAATAATAGAGTAAAGCTCAGCAATGCGGGGAAACGTTTCCTGAGGGGATTTCCAGTGTGCAAATACCCACGTAACTCAAGTATCTGAAAACACCAACACTAATTTGAACACTAATCATGAAAGAATTCCAGAAAACGGAAACCTTAAAAAAGAAAACCCTCCAAGACTGTGAGTGGCACACACACCCACAGATGGCGCTGGTGGAAGTGAACCCGCCCCTTCGCTCACTCTGCAGGTAGATGAGGTTTATGAGCGCCGCGCCAGCTTTGTGTCTCTGTGCATCGGCCGTGCCACCACTCACACTCGGATCCTACAGTAGAACCGGAACATGACGAGAGAGGACAGTTCCCAGAACTGGCCTGGAACTCGGAATGGCTGACCAGTTCAACTTCTCAACTCGATTTCCCTGAGAGAAACAAGCTACACTTGGACACAGTCCAGGGGAGAACAGTCCTCCGGCTCTCCCTAAGTGGTAGAACTAAATTCTCCCCTCATCAGCATGGACTCAGGGAGGTCTCTCTAAGTAGGTTGGAAAACTGGGTGTCACAATGCTGAATAGCGGGCACTCAAGTGTTTGGGGTTTTGCTGGCCTTCCGTGTCACAGAACCACAGAGGGTGAGCTTGGAGAGGAGCACCGAATAGCCTAGGGATCGGCGAATTCTAACCCCGAGGCCAAATCCAGCCTATGGCTGACATGGTTTCTACCCTTTTAAAGGTTGGTAAAAACACAAAGAGTATGTGACTGAGATCACACGTGGGCCCCAAAGCCTGAAACATTTACTATCTGGTCTTTTTGTAGAGAAAGTTTGCTGACCCTGAATCTAACCCCCTCATTTCACAAATGAGGAAAATGGCCAGTTTAAAGCCAGTTAATGCTGAAGTTGAGACTAGACTCCAAGTTTCTCAATTCCCACATTAGTTTTCTTTCCACTGTAACACAACTTCCCCTCTTGTTTTGGAAAATTGGTACTGCTACACTTTTTAGGGAAGTATTTCAATGCCCATGTTCTTCTATCTTGCTTGGTGTTCCCTTTGTTTTCAGCATTAAAAGCTGTGTTAAGTTTCCAGAGTTTAAATGGTATGAATGACTGTTATGCATGGGACCCTGGTCACTGTACTATTTCATCATTCGTTCATTCATTAAATGATGCAGAAATAGTTTCTCTGTGCCAGAAACAATCCTGATACAGTAATGGCACAGGGACTTGTAAGTCATGCTCTCCTCAAGTTCATTTTAAAGGCACGTACATCTGCTGAAGACTGGTCATGTGCCCAGGCACTCTGCCAGGTGCAGGCCTGCCAGGAGGCCTCCCAGAGCCTACACTGTGGTGTGGGGGTGCGCCGTGCATGTACGTGGGATAAATTCAGGCAATGTCACAAGTGCCACATATGTGATCCAGACAGAGTGCAGTCAAGGGATGCTGGAGAAAACCCCAACTTAGGTGAGCACAGAAAAACTGGGAGAGGAGGACAAAGCAGCCCTAGAGTCTGCCAATGAAGGAGCTACAGTTTCCACGGGAGAGGCCCACAGAGCAGACCGACCCAGTGGAGTCCGGCAGGAGCCTGCTAGCAAGACCACTGGAAAGCAGTCTGAACCCAGCACACTGTTTCTTGTTCTATCTATGCGATTACCAGGGAAGGATGACAGATGATAAACTTGCTTTTTCCATGATAAAACTGTCTGACATGGCTAACTTGAGTTTTCTAAAAATGAAGACATTTACAATGGAGATGTCTGCACCAGATGGAAAACAGACTTCTGAGGAACTGAATTTTATTGCAGAGAAAAAAAAATCCCCTTTCAAACACCATCCACAATGCTCAAAAGATTAATAGGAGATAGTCTTACCAGTTTGTAGCAAATTGCAAAAGCAAGGACATAGGTATCTTTGCTGAACTTCACATCTTGGTTTTTCATCTCAATCAACACTTCCAACGCACCTGCCAAAAGTCAGGAGTGGGCCGGCAGTGTTGAATGCAGGCAAGCGAATTCAGAGCCCTCTACTGCTCATCCCAAGTTCTGATCAGTGCCATGCACTAAAAAGTGTATTTAGCACAGTAAAAGCTATTTGTCAAAGTCATTTAGCAATGAACTAAATTTCAAAGTTAATGATCAGGTCACACAGGAAGAACTAATATTTAGAAAGTTGTTATAATTTTGACATAAGTAAAATCTGAGGTGTTCCCTTGGGGCATGACATAAGATGCAACAACGTTTCACACTCAAAGCAGCAGGCCTCCCTGACTCAGGTGCTCACCAGGGGCGGGCGGATCACTTCCACCTGGCCCTCTGTGTTTCTAACTGCTATGCCAGCAAAGAGAGCGGAACTTTTCAGCTAACATAAATTGCAATACTTACTTTTATATTTCCCTTTGATGAATAACATATCCATCAAAATATTAAATGATGTAGAGTCTGAGAAGAAACCTCGTAAATGCTAATAAAGAAAAACAATAGTTTGGTTAAAATTAAAACTCTTAAGGGATTATTGTTCTTCTACTGCATCTTATCAGTCCAGGACTTATTTTTGTGTGCATCTTATTCAGTTGACCTCCTGAGTTCTCCAATATATCTCGGATATACCACGGATTTCTTTTTCAAAAAAATTAAAATACTGCCTACTCCCTTGGATGTTATGCCTTTGGCAATGCACACACTGAACAAAAGGCAAGAGGTACAGTAAGAGATCTCTGGGTTTCCAAAATGCAGTGAAAAACATCTTCATGAAATGGGGTTCTGCCATGCTTGAGAGAAAAGAAACCAGCCAATGAACCCCACTGCAGGCGGTCCTGGGACCTGGGTGCAGCATATTAACAGGGAATGGCAGCTGGAAGAATAGTTGAGGACTAAGGCAGAAAGTCTGAAGTAACTGTGATTTTCTTTTAGGAAACAAGTAATACAAAATTGATTATTCACTTTTTCAAATAATTCACTTTAATAATTATTACTTAGTGAATAATAATTCATTAAAACATTTTAAAAATGTTCTTACATCATTTTGTTTGTTTTTTTAACATTATACTCATGGATATGATTTATTACAGTAAAACTTTCATTTTCTTTTAATTATAACATTAACACATGCTTACTGTAAAATAAACAATACAAAAATATATAAAGGAAAAAGTGAGAATTTCCTATAATTTTACAGGAATTTTAGATACTGTGTATCCCCTAAAGATACACAGTGTCTATCCTTCCAGGCTTTTAATACATACATACTGAAAGGTAAATAAATGTGCACGTATATCTTTTCTTTTAGAAAAAAAGACTCAAACTAGCCCGAGCTGTCCTGAAACCCCCTTTCCTCTGCTTGCTAACACACTGCGGCCGTCTTTCTGATGCACAGGTTTCCTTAGCAGAGGGGCAGCCAAGGGCCAAGGGCTCCACGTGGACAGTGCCCTTGACATGGAAACCAGCAAGAGGCAGGAGGACAACTTCATTATAGCGGCCCCCCAAATTCTAAAGTGTCCCAGGTGGCCAGCCCCAACCCCCAAATTTAACCAATGTTTCTGGCCATGGATAAAATTATAGTGTCTCAGAGTCCTAGTTTCCTCATCCGTGAAATGCAAATATTACTAGTATCTGGCTCACCAGGGCCATTGTGAGAAACAAATGAAATGAAACATATAAAGTACTTAAGCTGAGACACAGTAAATATTCAATAACTAATTTAGAAATAATTATTGCTATTGCTGTTTTTAGGAAAAGTAAATTCAAACATGTGAAAGCATTTTGAAAATTGAAAGGCACTTTACAATGTAGCCTTCAACCAGAAGTAAAAATACAAAAACAGGAGAAAAACACAGGGGAAGCACGGGAAAGGCAGTTTGAACAGCGCCTGTCTCACACTGTCCCCCCGTACAAACTCCTCAAAAGCGAGGATGTCAGTCCCAGGGGGACACACGGCCAAGGCAGGAAGGTACCTTGTAATCTGTACCTGCCCCTCTTCCACACCTGGTCTACACCTCTGTATAAAGATATTCTTTGTGGGAACTGACTCCCAAGAAACCTTAAAAATGTGAAGAGCTCATCCATGCAGCCCAGCAGCCTTTCTCTAACAAGATGGGCACAGGGACATGCCTCTCCTCACATTATAAAAGCACCTTCCCCTCGGCACAGGAAATCACACTGGCAGGGACGGCCATCAGGATACAATCACCTGGTCTCTGATGAGCTCCACTGCAGAGCCCTCAAGATCCAACTCGTAGCACAGTCTCATGAAGAGTGGTCCAAACTTGAACTCCCCCAAAGTGACGTTTCTGTTCTCTGCATGGTACCTGGTAATCAAAGTGATCCAGTGAGCCAAATGGTAGGACACGGACCGTGCCATGCACTCTGCCAGGTGCTGGGGGCGCAGTAAAGAATGGGGTACTCTCACAGTCTGGAGGGGAAGCTTGCAGAGCTGAAGATAATCAGAGGAACCCTGGAGTGCAGAAATACATCAGGTATTTAAATAAGCAAGTATGGGTGGGTGGGCTGGAATGGGAGTAAAGGGCAGAAAACTGTACTTGAATAATGATTTTAAAATAATAATAATAATAAAATAAATAAATAAGCAAGTAAACAGAGGAGGCTTGTTGGAGGCGCTCTCATCCTGCCAAATCAAAGAGAGGAAAGTATACATTACAATCATCTCAATTTACCGAGACCCAGTTAGGACTGACTGAGAGTGAGCACACCCTATGACAGGGAACACAGGGGTCTTGCACCCGTAAGTCCTGCAGAATGCACTGTCTCTGTGTTCCAGCATCACTTTACTTTCAATAGCCAACTCTCTGCGCTTTAGACACTAAGAAGACAATCTGGTAACAAAACAAGTACTTCATGATTACATGTAAATGAGACTTTTGAAAGACTCATTCCTTACGTGAATAAATCCCAAATACTATGAGGACAAGTTCCAACTTTAAAAAACAGAATACTTTTTAACCTGCTGAAGTCACTGAGGAGAGCACAGTAGTATAATTAACAGAGTCCATCCTAAACATATGTGCTGACCACTAGAATGGAGGTGCCTACTTTTAAAGATCCATTTCAAATTCCAATTACAGAAGCTACAAAAAATATTCACAGCTTCATTACAACTGCTATGAATTAAGTTATTATAGCAAAACATCAAGTTGCTACCTCTTAAATATACAGTCAAACCTCACCATTTCTCAAACATCTCAGTTCTCGAACATTTTGGTTCTCTACCGGAACCCAGTTGTTCACAGAAGAATGTCTCAGTTGTCGAACAAAACTTTGGGTCTCAGTTCTCGACCCAACACCCCTTTCATGCTGATACCCGTGTGATCAGTCACGAGTCTCTCGGGTGACAGACAAAAAGAGATTCGGGTTGGGAACAAATCTCTTCTCAAACATTTTTCTAGAACAAATTAAGTTTGAGAACCGAGGTTCCACTGTATACAATTTTTGTCAATCACACTTCAATAAAACTAGAAAAAAGTTAGTTATTAAAGGGCAATATAGCATAGTAAATAAGGATTTTTAGACTCTCCCTCCAAACTAACAGTTCAAATCCCAAGTATCCTGCTTATTAACAATGCAACCATGAGCAAACTAATTACCAGTAACCACTGCACGCTGCAGTTTCCGTATCTGTGCATGGAGGTAAGAGGAGAACAGAGTCTTTGTGAGAACTGAATGAGGGGATTTCCCAGCACACAGACAGTTTTCCACATATGTTAGTGCTTACAAAATGTAAGAATGCTGAGGAAAGCCTCTTTAAAAATCAATATATTTCAGTAAACAGACTCATGAGAAACTTATGCTGGATTAAAAACAAAACAAAGCAAAAGAAAAGACTTTTCAATTTAAATAACTTTCGCACAAATTAAAAGTCCTAGAAAGCCACAGAAATAACGATCACCTTCTTGACAAGAAACGTTCCAGTCAGATGGTCTAAATCCCTCTGTAAATCAGTGTGGTCAAGGTTAGGATGGGATTAAGTTGTTCCTTATTTCTGGCTCAATAAAGACTATTTCAGCTCACTACTCTCCTTCCCCAGCCACAGGCTACCTATCTCAGGAAGAGAGGGAGCAGGCTGGTTACGCCCTGGCCAGTCCAGCTGCCCAGCTGTCCACAAACAGAGAGAAGGACAGCAAGTGAGCAGAGATGCTTTATTGGCATCAAGAGGAACGATGAGTCATACTTTGAATGTTTATGGGAAAAATACTGAAGGAATGTTCAAGATTTTATCCTGTTTTCTAACTCTTTTAAACATCTGATAGCTTTGGGTAGTAAAGCTGGTCAGAGGATCTTAAATGATTCAACTTCATGAAACTGAAATAACAGAATTAGGTTTACTGACACAGTGCGACTGTAAATCAGTATAACTCTTTTGAAAAATAACCTGGCAGTTTATATTGACAAGTTTCAAAAGGTTCATACCCTCTGAACCCAAAAAGGAAATAAAGAGTAAGTTTTATGTATAGAGTTGCTTGTCACAGTATTATGTATACTCGTGAAAAGTTAGAAATCATTTAGCCACTCAACAACAGGGGCACAGTTAAATGTTTATTAGCCCTGGCTGGTGTGGCTCAGTGGATTAAGCGTGGGCTTGAGAACCAAAGCGTCGCCAATTCAATTCCCAGTCAGGGCACATGCCTGGGTTGCAGGTCAGGTCCCCAGTGGGGGGTGTGCTAGAGGCAACCACACACTGATGTTTCTCTCCCTTTCTTACTCCCTCCCTTCCCCTCTCTCTAAAAATAAATAAATAAAATCTTTTTAAAATGTTCATTAAAATATAATTCTTAAGTGTACGATTAACAAGCAAAAACATTTATTCTATACTATTAATTAGAAAACAAGAAAATATCATTATACAATATATACTCTAATAATTATAACTGTGTAAAGATAAACTCTATCAAATCATAAAATCTTTGCATGAAAATGTACATTCAATCTGCAGTTGGGAATCTGCAATGCTAATTTATAATCTGTGATGTTAACTTTTAAATTAAGTTACATGAGAATTTTCAGCACCCCTAACCCCTATAAGGGTAAACAGTGTATCAAAATATTAACATCGATTTCTTAGAAGTGATAGATAGGCCCCAAAGATGGCCACCATCAAGTCCTTCCCTCCCTGTTTGTGCACGCCACTCCAACCATCCAGAGTGGAAGCCTTCCCCCTCCCCGTGAATCTGGGCTGGCAGGGTCACTGGCCTTGACCAAGAGTGCCAATTCTGGGCAGCTCCACAAGGCCCGCAGCTTCCACCTGTGCTGTGGGCTGGTGCAGCTTAGGCTAGACTCGTGAATGGTGAGATACTGCAAGGAGAGAAGGGGCCACATGGAGGGGCACTGAAGGATCAGAAATGCAGGTGATGCCTTCTTGGACCTTCCGGCTCAGCCCAGTGACCTGTAGATGAGCAAGTGATGTTAGTCGACGCCAAGAAAGAACCTCCCAGCTGAGACGGGCCTCAATTCCTGACCCACAGAATTGTGAAAAATAATAAGTAATGCTTGTTTTGAGCATCTGAGTTTTGGTGTGGTTAGGTATGCAACAACAGACATTTGAAACAGCGCAACTTGCAATATGTTTATTCTACTTTCTTGATGTTTTTCAAATTTTCAGTGCATTTTCTGCAACTGTTTTTTATTTTCCTTTTTAAAAAATAACATAAATTTTTTATATTATAAAATTACTAATGTCTACTATTACAAATTGGAGAAATCAGAAAAGTACATATTTAGACAAATAAAAAATAAAGAATGTGTAATTCCCAGAGAACCGCAGTTAACTTCTGACATATATTCTTCCATTATTCTATATATGAATACCTTGTATTTCTCTATAAACATACAATATAAATGCAGGCCCATGTACAGAAATATATCTTTAAAGGATGGTGAAAAGAAGCAATGAACTTAATTTCCAAAACGAAGCCCGTTGATTTTCTCCCAAGGAAGCGAAACCTTTGCTGGGTTTCCTAACAGCAGACTATGACTTCGTGTGCGTTCCTTCTGACGTGTAAAACCCTGACAATGGGTCAGACACAACAGAACATGACAGGCTTAAGCCTGGAGGAGGGAGACTAGTTAGGAATCCCCTGCAGTGATCCAAGTGACAGACACTGAGGCCTGAACTAAGACACCTGGAACAGGGGCAGAGAGAGGAAGGCGAGAGATGAGAGACGCCAGGGAAGTGGAAGCAGTCGAGGTCTTATCCTGCCAGGGAGGAAAGAAAAGGAGATTAGAGGAAAGGGGCTCCCTGGTATCTGTACTGAGCAAATGGGCAATGTGACAGAAAACACAAGAGAAAGAAATTTGTGTAAGTTCAATGTGAAGACCTAGGGGATGTGTAAGTGGAGTTACTGAATAGCTGGTGAGCTCTTGGGGGAATGGATTATCTGTGTTTCTGTCCCCGGCACCTGGCATGCAGTAGGAACCCAACAAATGTTTACTGAAAGAATGAAGATTAATGTCTAGAGCTCAGGGCAGGCACCTGGACAAAAGGCTTGGCAGTCATCAGTGTACAGGCGACAGCCGAAACCGTGGAAGCAGGTAAGATGGCTCAAGAAACAGAACTGAGTGAGAAGGGACAATGGCTGGCTGGATTCTGAGGAAATGTCTCACCTGTAAATGACATTTTTAGCCAGTTCCACATCATCCCGGGACTCACACAAATGAAGTAAGGTTCTCAACTCCTCCTTCAAGATGAGCTTGTTCTGGGTCAATTTGTCTTCCAAGTGTCTCAGATAGGTTTCTGGAAGAAAGCACAGTGGAGTGGCCATCACTAGGCTGACTGGGGCTGTCCGAGCCTGACCTCAGGGAGCAGGGGAAGTCTGAACCTGGCCTGTGGCAAAGGGGCACTACAGAGGCTCATGACCACCCAGCTCCCTTCACGGGCTGGCCCCCTTGGGCACAGAGTCGGAGATGCATGACACAAAGCATCTGTGTCATGGGGGACAAGCCCAGGCCCCAATCAAGACTTTCTCATGCAGAATCTCTGAGGATAGGAGCAAAAGAATATGCATTTCTGACTACTTGGGTAATCTTTATGCACACAAAAAGTTAGAGAATATCCCAGAGGTTTAGCCCACAGAACTGTATTACAGATGACTCCAGAGGGGAAAAAAGAAAGAAAGAAAATGTAACCAAGGTATCCAAATCATCAACTAGCAGGGCACCTAGCACTAAAACTGAAAGGAAAATGGGAACTGAAGACGGGTTTGCCCACGGGCTGACTCACATGACTCAGAAATAGTTTATGTCCCTTTCATTTGGTCCAGCTGTACCTCTCCTTCATTCTTCTTGGTCTCTCTCTACTGTTGTTGGAAAGTATGCCACCACAATTCATAATGCACAGGGGATAAATAAAAAACAGTCACTCTACCTTGGCTGGGTAGCTCAGCTGGTTAGAGCATCATCCCCGGTATGCCAAGGGTGCGAGTTCAATCCCCAGTCAGGGCACATATAAGAATCAATCAATGAATGCATAAATAAGAGGAACAAATTGATGTTTTTCTCTTTCCCTTTCACTATCTCTCTCTCAAATCAATTAAAAGACAACAACAACAACAACCAGTCACTCTTTGCAAGGTGATCATACTCTATCTCTGTCCCTTGTCTTATGTCTGACCAACTGTGGGGACAAACGCCCTTCCATAGCTTCTTAGCATTAGGAAGGGACTGTATTCCCAAAAGAATGTGGGGTGAGATGCCAGGCAGGCACTAAGCAAGCACCTGCTTTCCAGAAGGCATGGCTGTTCTCAGGAACAGAACGGCCAAGAAGTCTACAGGATTTGCTCCAAGGCCCAGAGCTTTAAAGGAATGCTGCATAGAGGGTGGCACAACATACATTAAAAATGCATGATCTGGAAGCTGAGGCAGACACTGCCCTAGATTTACAACAAAAGAAGGCCCACTAGGTTCAAGATACTGTAGTAGACCCTCCAATCTTTACTTGCAGAACCACATAATTTAATGGTTTAAGATTTCAGAGAGAGAAGGAACTGGGATGAAATCTAGGCTCTGCCAGTTGCATGCTATGGGGAGACCCTTCTCTGTGAGACCAGAGTCCTCTCATGTGTAAAGTGAGGACCATGACACCTACCTCCTGAGGGTATCCCGAGATGATTGATGTACATAACACATTAGCACAGAACCTGGCATAGAGCAACTGCCAGTTAATCACAGACATTATTGTTCTTATTTTCATTCCTTCTAACACCTCTTAGACTTAAGAGGATTTGTTCTATTAAATATTTCAAAACAATTTCCAATATAAAAGATTTCAATGGGATGACTTTACAACTTCATCCTTCTTAATAAACTTTAAGAATCCAAAATTTCAACAGATATAATTTGTATTTTAAAACTAATCTATGAAGATGTAAGTGCTTATCACATATTCATACTCAAAGGTATGATTCCTGTTCTGAAAGAGCATAAAGTCTATTTAAAAAGAAAAGATATATTTATAGAAAGCTATTCGAAAACACTGATGGAGTGGATGGCACATGACTGACTATGAACATAACATTAGAGAAGGGAAACATCAGAGCGGCAGGAACAGACCAGGCCTGGTGGGAGGGGAGAGGTACCAGAGAGGAAGGAAGGAGCTGGATGGAGTTGGAGAAACTTCAAAGTGGGGGGCATTCTAGGTACCAGCATGAATAACAGCACAGGATCTGCAGCAGGGGGAGGTGGTGAGGAGAGAACTGTGACTAGATGAACAGGAAATCACACTGGATTCCAGAAAAGGTAAGGTCCATTATGGAAGAGCTAGGAAGCCAGGGGTAAGTTTGTATGATGTCACACAGAAGGCAGTAGTACCATTGTAGGTTTTTACAAGGATGAAATGTGGACAGGATTTTATAAATACCAAAGCTAACAATGTAGTACACTGGCACTCATTATATTAGCTGTCTTTCAGAACATATGCACAAATGTCACAGCCTTAGAAAGACTATGACAATTGGAAACAACAACTAGAAAATGATATGGAGCCCTAATGTTGCAACCCCACATAGCTCCAAAAGACCTTGTGTAAAAGAAAAAGACTGATGCATAATCTAGATTGAGTCTACTAAACTGGAGATTAATATATTCTCTCCCCCGCACTTAAGGCTTATTTTCTTGTTCTGCAGGTGAGATTAGTCAACAATGTGATTAGCAGAGCAGTCAGGGAAGACATTTCTGGAGGGCTGGACCCTGAGTGAAGAGAAGCGAGAAGGGTTAATTAGGTGTTCATAAACATTTGATAACAGAGGAAGGAGAGCTGAAACAGTCAATAAAGGCAAATAAAAGAGTTATTTAAAAAGAGGAGAGCCTTGCTGTGCTTATAAAGAAATTTGAAGGACTGGGAAAAACTCAATGTGCAGGAGAGAGAGAATGAATGCAATGAGATTTCCCAGATGCTGAAAGGGAACAGGACCTACATGGTGTTGTTGTAATTTTTGCTTTTTATAATAAAAAATTCCAAACATACCTGAAAGTGGAGAGAACAGTATGCTGGAACCCCCACCCCCAACATCCAGCCTCAACAATTGTCAATATTTTGCTAATTTTTAAAAGACATCTTTGTTTTGGCCTATTGACTTTTCTAGGACAGGGTGGAAACTATGGAAATACATCACCATACACAGCACTGTTTTGTTTCATTTCATTTCACTTATATGCATATTTGTATGTGAATAGTGAAAATTTAAATGTATTTATTAAAGGTTGCATCAAAAAGTTTGAATGCCAGTCATCTGGAGCAATTCTCAGACTTTACTGTGCGTAAGAATTGTATGGGGCCTGAGGTTTAGTATTTCTATCCACCCTAACCCCCCGGTTGCTGCTGACCCTTGAACCTTTGAGTGGCATGGATCAGGGGAGGACTGGTTGTAGTATTTCTCTGGGATCCTGGGTGAAGGGACAAGAGGACAGTTGTAGGCCCTGCAGGTGAAGAATGAGATGAACAGCGCATTTAAGGGCAGACTAGGAAATTAAAAATAAATCATCTCAACTTTTCCTGAGACATAGCTCACTAGAAAAGAGACTGAACAGGGATAGAGACAGAGGAAACTTAAATGACAGAACAATGAATGGATTAACAAAATAGGTTCAATTACCTTTGGTGCCAGGAAGACTGTGTGCAATAGCCAACTTCTTATGCTGAAATTCTCTTAATTTCACAATATTATCTGTAAGTAGATATCTTTTAGCTAAAAATTAGAGAAAGAAAAAGAATAAAATCATTTTGACTGTTTTATACTTAGTAAATAATCTGAGTGGAGCTTGACTATCTCTCATAACTGATCTTATCTTCATTCACTATAAATACTCCATTTAGATAGGTACAAATATACCAGCCACCCTAGTCGGAAAAAAGTCTCCAACTACCAGAAAATGCAAATCCTCAGCAAGACATTATGTTTGTGTGTGTAAATGAAGCTAGTGATTGCGTGTGGGGATGGGTTGACAGGAACCTGGGATCTGAAAGACACACAGACATTCACCATCTAGTTAAGAGATGATAAGGGAATTTTTAAACAAACTAAAGGCTATTGTTTATGCAGAATAGGAATATCTAGTTTTGGTATACGTAGGTAGAAGCACAGTGTAGTAGAAAAAGCTAGAGTGTGACCATTGGAATTCCCAGTTCTGCCACTTGTCAAATGAGGAGTATTGCCTCTCAGATATGGCTTAGCAGTATCCTCAAAACATATCAGGAATCACTGATCACAACTTAGTAAAGATGGGTTTGGGGGACACCATAATTTCTTTACGTTGCTGGGCTGTGGAGTGGAGCGTGACCAAAGCACCATCCACTAAGAACTCTGGGTACTGCAACAAGGTAACAATAAAAATTGCTATGTGGAAAGCCAGTCCAGAGGAGTTACAGTGGGACTCTACGAAAGGCTGCCTGTGTTCAAATCTCTTCCCTACCACTTCTCTCTGACCTTAGGGAAATGAGGTCTGACTTGCTGTTCCCTCCTCTGTAAACAGAGAAAAGAATGGTACTCCATCACTTGGTGTCGTGACGAGAAAAGGGATGTGTGTAAATGCATTAGAATAATGCCTGATACAAAATGTTACGTATTTTATTATCACTCATCAGCATTTTGAACTTCAATCATCTTCATAAAGATATTAATGGATAATCTTACAAACGAAGAAATCTGTTCAAGGTCTTTCAGATTGTTAGCTGCAGAGTTGGGTTGCAGCTTCCCAAACTGCGGGACACTACAACCAAAGGGGGAAGGGGTGTTTTTGGAGAGCAACGTTGCCCCATCCAAGGGAATATACAGCCCCAAGGTCAAGACCCCAGCCCGGCTTCTTTGGTTCTCAGGTACGTGGTTGTCCACGGCATTCAGGGGCCACCGCTGCACCCACGCTCAGCCAGAGGGCAAAGGCACGCTGGGCTGCTCCAGGCCAGTAAGTACCTGCGGCGCAGTTATTTCTCTAAAGTGATGTCTGCTGAGGAATAAAGGTCCCTTCTTTCCCATCCCTCCCTCCTTCACCGCGCGAGGCCGCGGATACCTCCGAGAGGGCAGCGGCAGCAGCTGGAGCCTGAACCTCCCACCCTGGGATACACCAAAGACCGCAGCGCCCGCAGCACGGCGAGCTGCGGCGGCCGAAACGCAGCAGCCATTCCTCCCGGGCCGCACCAACTGCGGAGCCGGGGGCGCAGAGAGCCAGCCCAACTGGAACTTCACCTCTTCCTCTGCCCTTACCCCCCCCGGACCTGTGTTCTCCTTGGTATGCTCCAAGATGGCGGCCCCCATGGTGCGGCGCGGGTTCCTGCTGGCGGGGAAAGTGCCTCTTCCTCGTCTCTCACTGGCAGGTTGGTGGCTGGCTGCTGCCTTTGTGGAGCTGCTTCGTTAGATCTCTGAGAACTCTGTCCCTTGAGTGAAGGGGGCGATGAGCTTTCAACAGGAGAGGAGATGCTTCTGGGATCTAGTTGCCAGAGAAAACATTTCGGGTGTTTGATAACACAGTAAGGGGAGAAAAGATCTCTGACCCATCTCCTTTTGTAAAGTAATAGTGTCTGCCCATCTAAAGGTATAAAGAGCAGAGCAAGTCCAGGCGCGGGCGTTTTTACGTATAATTTGTGTTAGGGTGATTGTCTTTTCCGACTCTGAAAAGCTCAAATGTGTCCACTTCTGGGGCTGTGAACATTTTCTCCCTCCTGAGGCTTCCTTGGAGGGGCGTCGTAAGCGTTCTGCTCCACATCTAACAGTTGGCCAGAACCACTGGTCTTCACTTGGTGGAAGAATTTTTCAGTGTACTAATCTCATTGTACCTGATGACCTTGGACACCGTTTTTGACCTTCTTTTGCTCCAGTTTTGTACCTATAGACAAGAAATGCTAATAATTACTTCTAAAGTACTTTGATTATCTCAGTGAATGGCAGCCTACTCAAACCTGTTTAATGATCTGCTGATAAAGACATTGGGAAAAAAGTTCTTACATTTCCAGAAGCTAAATCTCGACAAGTGTATATGATTATTTGATTAAAATGCAATAATCACAATTGATGTTTCCAATGCCTATTATCTCCTCTTTCCAACGTTCTTCCTCTAGCCCCTATAAAAAAGCAACACATACACTCTTGCTGACACTTTTTTAGGAACAGCCATTAAACATCAAATGAAATTACAGAGTTGGTCACCAGAAGTTTTCTGAGGATTAACTGATTGACCTAGCTGGTGAAAATACTTAATGCCACATGTTAGGTAAAGTGGTATGCACAGTACTTGGCACCTCAGTAAGAGTTAGCTGTTGTAGCTATTTACAAGCATGTTTAGTTATGGTTGTTGGTAAATGTTTTGATTTAAACAAGACCTTAGATTGTCTATTAGGGAGGATGTTGTGGTTGCCTAGAATGTTTGGGACAGTCATTCTAACAAGGGAATAGAGATTAGGTAAGAGTGAATTGAGAGAATTTCCAGTTAGCATTTTGGTCTTAGTTTGAACTGGTGAACTTGTGGTAGGTTATACACCTGTGCTATTACATTTAGTAGCTACTAGCTGTATATGGCTATTTAAAGTAGTGAAGATTAAATGAAATTTAAAGTTCAGTTTCTTAGTCACACCAGCTACATTTTAAGTGCTCAAGAGACACCTGGGGCTAGTTGCTACTTTGCTGGACAGCTCAGAATTGAACATTTCCATCATTATATCAATAGAAAGGTATATTGAACAAGCACTGGGTTAGATCATAGATGAAAGGAGCCTTGCAATTAGGAAATGAAGGCTGTAAGGCAAGTAATACAAATCAGTAGGATAGTGCATTATGGACCACTCAGGATTTGAAAATGCTAAGAATCTTAACTTTAAGTCATCAGAACGTCTGGAAATATTACAAGACAAGAGGAAAAATAGTCTACTTTGTACAAACTCGGGACAAATCAATATTTGAAACACTTTGATGTTGATATTGATTCTCTGTAATTACATCAGAGCCAAAGGAAAATTTATTGAGATGAACCAAAAAATGACTTCATGATATGAAGAGGCCAGAGGAAGGAAACTTAACTGGGCACCTACTACACAGGGGATGTTAGGCTAAACACTTAATACTGCATGTGCATTCATTTAAATTGTGGTACAAGGTAGGCATTATTTCCTCATTTTACATGTGGAGAAAGAGGCTCAAGACTTGGTGTAACTTGCCTCTATTTATCAGCAAGGCTAGGATTCAAACTTAGATTTTGTGACTCTAAAGTCCATCTGAGTCCACAATCACACTGCTTCCCTTTGAAATCGCTGGGTTGTATGCAACTTCATGTTTATATTTTAAGGAATTGCCGAACTTTTCCAAAATGGCTGCGCTATTTTACATTTTCACCTGAAATGTATGAAGATTCCAGTTTCTCTACATTTATATCAATGGCTATAATCGGATAATAATGGCTTATTACCCAATTATAGTCATCCCAGTGGGTGTGAAGTAGCATTTCAATGTATTTGGCATTTCCCTAATAGCAAATGATACTAAACATCTTTCCATGCACTTGCTGGTCATTCATGTGTATGTATATATGTTTGTGTGTGTACATCCTTTTGTTTTTTGAGAAACAGTTGCTCAAATCCTTTGTCCATTTTAATTTGAATTATTTGTCTTTTTAAATTTTGAGTAGGAAGAGCCTTGGCTGGTGTGGCTCACTGTATTGAGTGCCGACCTGCGAACCAAAAGGCCTCTGGTTCGATTCCCAGTCAGGGCACATGCCTGGGTTGCAGGCCAGATCCCCAGTTGAGGACGCCCAAGCAGCAACCACACATTGATGCTTTTCTCCCTCTTTCTCCTTCCCTTCCCTTCTGTCTAAAAATAAATGAATAAAATCTGTTTAAAAAATAATACATTTCGAGTAGGAAGAGTTATTTATACATTTAGAATACAAGTCCCTTATCAGATAAATGATTTGCAAATGTTTTTTCTTTCTGTGAATTTCCCTTTCACTTTCTGGATAATGTCCTTTGAAGCACAAAATTTTTAAATTTTGATTAAATGGCCATTTATTCTTTCTCATTCATTCTTTGAACTCATGTTTATTGAGCACTGTCATATGCCAATCATTGTGCCAGAGGCTGGTAAAACAGCTGTGCCATCTTGTGAGTTACCTCAAATTTGACTTATTGGGTTTCTCTTATTTATCCCTCTGGTGCTGGTGTACTGGGTAAGTTATTGCTGTGCGCTTTATGTGAAATACGGGTAAATGTGCCAGTCTAAGTCAGATGGAAATGTTTTGAGAATGAACAAATGACTATGAAACATTCGATTAATGAGTTAAGCAACAGTTCAGCCAGATTTCCAGTTTTGCGCATCTTCTGCTTGTTAGACGATGAATGCATCTTGTCAGGAACTGAATTGTTAACTGTGCAGCTTTGGTTACAGTAGCATGTTAGAATCTTTGAATAATTTAGTAAACTGAACGTACTACAATGATGTTAATAGGACAGACATGTAAACTGAACCTGCTGTGAAATCGTGAGTGTTGAGATACTGTCCTTTTCCTCAGGCAAAAGATGCCTGCTTTCTGCAGCGTATGTAGACAGCCACAAATGGGAAGCAAGAGAAAAAGAAGATTGTCACCTCGGTAGGTACCTACGTGTCATTTTCAATCCATATGGTCGTGATCATATAGTCACATATTCATATGATGCTTTTATGATAATCCAATTCAGATAAGTACATTTGGGTCTTAAAAACAATTAGACTTTTGTTTCACATCAGGCAGAATCATTTTTGCTATCCTTCTGGGGTTTTGGGGTTTTGTTTTGGTTTTTTTTGCCTTGAGTAGTCTTCCTAAATTTTGTAAACAATTCTTTTTTTTCCTGTTTATTGTATAGTCAAGTTAGTTATCCTGCAGCCTGTTTCTGTTTCACATTATCTGCAAAGAAAAATATATTTTATACTTTTATCTTTTTTTATTGTCATTTCTTAACTTGTCTTCGGAAAGCATTTTGACCCTTCTCTGTTTCATTGCCAGGTGACAGATGGATTTGAAAGCAGTGGTATAATCCCATATAAACCATTTAAGGAAAATAGTTGGCTAACTTCTCATGCAGTAGGATCCTAATTATAGGCCCCTGTTCCCTATATTGCATGGTTAGCAGCCACTCTTTTATAAACTAACAAGGCCTAAAAGAAACCACTGACCCTATGAACATTTTATAGAAATGTACATGCTACATATAAATAATATTATTTTATTTAAGATTTTTTATTGATATTCTATAACAGTTGTCCCAATTTTTCCCCCTTTGCCCTGCTCCACCCATCCTACCCCCCACTCCCACAGTCCATCCCCACACTGCTGTCCATTTCCGTGGGCCATTCATACATGTTCTTTTAACTTGTCCCTTCCCCTTCTTTCCACCATTATTCCCCTCTCCACTATATAATATTTTATACACATAATATCATTTTGATAGTCAGACAATTAGTGACAGTTTTATGGGAATAATGTAATTTTTGGGTCAGTTCCAGTGTTGATCTAATATTTTTCCCCAAATTTCTTTCTCTGCTTTTTTTGGGCTTATGTTAAATAAGAAGAAAGCCCCCCTGTGTTTATTGATTCTTCCAATAACTGCGGGGTGGAGGAGCGGGATCCTGTTATAGCTACTTATAATGGCTACCTTGGGAGCGGCGGAGGGTGGGGTGGGAGTGTTCAAAGAACTCATTTTCTCCCTGACTGTGTGATTGCAGGAGCACATTAAAGTTGGTTTGTGAGACCTGAAATTGGGTATATGGGCAGGGCCCAGCCGAAACAGCTATGGAGAGTGGGAAGATAGTAACTATATATTTGCACTGTTGATGCAGAATCACTGTGAACAGCAGATAGAAACGCACATGAATACAGATTTGGCGTACTAGCAAAATCAAGTACCATTTCGTATTATCATGACATTATCATAAGTGACACAGTTTTATTTACAAAATGGTCAACAACTCTTGGTAAAGTTCTGAACAAATCAAAGTGCTGTCTTTCCTTCTTTCCTCAGTTTACCTAGTACTTACATTTATGGAAAATTCATCCCCCCCCAGAGTACTTTGTTTTTATATGTAAAGTTGAGTTAGTTTTGTTAATTATAGACAAGTATTTTTTTAATAGTGTGAATGTCTGCCATGTCATACATGGCTTAGTATGTGGACCAAATATTTTAACTTTTATTTGGAAATAATTTGAAATTTACAAAAAATTATGAGAATAATACTAAGAGCATCTTATACCCTTAACCAAGATTTCTTTTTCGTCGCCATTTTGACCCCTTTGTTTTTGCTTTCTCATTCTCTGTATGTGCACATTTTTTTAACCTTTTAAGGTTTTTTTTTTTTCATATATTATATATAGGCCTTTATCCTGAATGCTTTACTATGTATTATCTGACTTTTTTTTTAAAGAAGCCAGTCCCTTTTTTTAATAGGATATTCTTCTTTTTGGGTTTGTCTGAGATATCATGATTAGATTCAATATGTGCTTTCCCAGTCAGAATATTGTCAGTGACATTTCATCCTTCTGTGGGCACCTCTAGAGACACCTGTTGCCCATCTGCTTTCACTGGCGATGTTAACCTTGACCACCCAGTCAAGTGTGTCTGTTTTCCCACTGGAAAGTTACTATTTTTCTCCTTATGACTAATAGACATTCTGTGGAGAGATATTTTAATACGAAAATACATCCTATTTATCAAAAGCTTCCCCCTAGATTTAGCATCCATTGAGGCATCTACCCTGAATCAGTCTTTACTACGACAGTTGCAAAATGATGGTCTTCCAACTCTGTTAATACATCCACATTTACTAGTTAGTACTCAGTATTTTAACTATAAGCAAGAACCCTCCCTTTTATCCCATTTCTTTGAACTATATTTATCTGTTCATTATTGATATGGTCTTCTGGATTGTGGATTTCCCTTGTTTTGGGTTTTTTTTTACCCATGTTTTGGGCCATTCATTACCAATGAAACATGGGTAATGATTCATTACCATCCTTAATTATTTGGGTGATCAAATTGTCCCATATTTGGCTAGTAGGAGCCCTTTCAAGCCAACTCCCAATGTTCCAGGCTTATCTTGTACCTTTCCTGCTCTAGCCCTGGAATTAACTATTTCTCCAGGAGTCCTAATTCCTTTCAGTAGGGAATGGTATTAGATGCCAAGATCTATGTATTAGATGTCCTTTTATCACTGTGAGGCTTTTGCTTGTCCCATTCAGTGGACAGAGCTAGAAAAATGTGTCCATATATATTATACACAAATAGACAGATGTGCACATCCATGCATATATGCATGTATGTGTATATTTTACAAATAACAAGTTCATGCTGAAACCTCTGATTCCAGCGCATCCCTGCAGGTTCTTCCTTGCCTTCCCTTAGCCCATATTTGTGTCTCCTTTCCATACTGAAAACTCTGCTCCCCAAGCACTCCCCAACTCTGCTCTGTGCTCCAGCAGGGACCATGTTTTGAAGTGCTGGATAGTCTCCACCTTGTGGGTTGCTCTATTTTTCAGACTATAACATGCACCCCCAAATTTGAGGCGAAAGTGTGGTGCATCTTATAGTCCAACTGTAGCTTACCTGGCTCCCTGTTGTGGGGGGCAGGGGGTGGCGGTGAAGCCAGGTCACAGGTTATTAAATATTTTACCGCATTTTTTGCTTCACATTTTTTTTCCTATTTTCCTCCTCTAAAAAACCTAGGTGCGTCTTATAGTCTTAAAAATACGGTACTTAGTTTTCCTTTCTTCTGCCTATTAAGTGCCAGTAATGCCCCGCTGACAGTCAAAAAATATCCCCATATATTCCAAAATGCCCTCTAGGGCCATTAATACTCCTTTTGGAAACACTTTTGTAGTGATGAAACCAACATGGGCTCAGTTACATTGCAAAGTTTGTTACATACAAATTAAAAGAAAAGTGCTATGGCAGTACAGAGAAGAGAATGAAGAATTTCAGGTAAGCTATTGTTAACACTGTCTTAGGTATGAAGGGAAGATTAGTAAATGATACCATTATTGTATTTGGCACCTCAGATGGAGTATAGGCAGCTGTCTTTTTATTCTGGGACTGATATAGGGGAACGTTCTCATGGATTCCTGAATAAGCAAAAGCTGTTTGCTAAAGAATGAGCATAATAATCTGCAACAAATTAAGTATATGGGAGTAATCATCTCCTTGTCTGTTAAGATTAGCATACTTGGAAAAGCAGTACCAGCTACCATTTATCGAATACTACCTGGCCTAGAATACCCTTTATACCCCAGGAATCCTTACCCAGTCAGAATAAATTTTCCTCGCCCTCGGTTCTCACAACACTTGGTTATGCGGTGTGATGTGGTGAAGTCTGCACCTGTGGGATCACATCTCGGTGTGAACTCCAGCTTTGCCAATTTTCCAAAATTATGTCACTTAACCTCTGTTCCTTTACCGATAAATTAGGGATGATGGTAATGCCTGCCTCAGCTAATACCCTGACATAGGGCAGGTGCTCCAGAAATAGGTGGAAAGAACAAGCCCTAGCCCCTTGATTTTACCTCTATATAAAACGTAGGGGTGAGTAAGGTTTTGAAACTCAAACTGGTTGGAAGGAAAAGAGGCTATTTGAGACTATTTTTTTTCCTTACTCTGTAATAGAATGTGATTAAAACACACATTCGCTTCTACGAGCTATTACTACGTTTTCCCTAAGTCACAATTGAGTGTTTGGGTTGGAATATTGGCCCTGAGAGGTGAGGGCAGCGCGCAGCCAAGGAGGAACGTGGTCGGAGCTGCTGCGGCCTGCGGAGGATCAGGCAGTAGGTGGCAGTGCGGCCTCTTCGGAGACCGCTGCGCAGCCGGAGCAGCTTGCTTTGGATCCGAACCTTTTCCCGCAGCCTTTCCGATGCCTCCTCGTGCGTGTGCGTAGGGGGCTGCCCTCAAGCATGTGGAGTGCTGTGATTGGGCGCGGTGATCTGGTACGGGCTCGCTGATTGGGGAAGGGAGGAGAGACGATGTGAAGCTTTTACTCCACGTGTCCCCATTGGCGGGCACTGCGTGGAGTGGAGCTCGGTGAGGAGGGAAGAGGTGTGGGGCTGGGGCTCGGTCTGCATCTGCATTTTCCATTGGTTTGAGTGATTTCCTCCGTCCGAATACTGTGAAGGAGACGGTTTGGGTTCCCTCGGCTAGGTATGCAGCTATGGTGTCTCCCCTCTTCAGTCTCATCATAGCCTTCAGGGAGAGCTGATGGGGATCTGTCCAGCTCGCAGTATGAAGGTAGTTTCTTACCAAGGAGATCTTGAAAAACACCAGGAGTGCTATTTAGAGTAGGGTACCTGCACTGCAGTCTAGGGGGCTGCAAACAGGCCATGAATGCAATGCAGGTTCTCAGATAAAAATCAAAAGACAGCCTCTGTTAACTGCTAGTTATGTGCTGGTTCTGTGTAAAGCATATCACACGCATCATTCCATTTAATGCTCAACAACCAGTGAAGACAGCTGCTTTTATTCCCCTTCAGAGATGAAACGCCACATTCTGACATGTGTTTGGGGCCATACTGTATTCTATAGCCTTTCCACTCAAAAATCCCTTTCTCAGTGATTGCTGTAGTACCTGCAG